GCCCTCTCCAACCTATTTCCCTCCCGTTATCCTTAAGGACCCGCTCCGGGGTTTCGCAGGCGCCGAGCCCGGAGGGGCCAGATATTGCACAGCCACGAAGCCAGGAGCTCGCAGCATCCCTCTGCTTTGAAAACATCGGTGGGGAACAGCTCCAGCCCGTCCTTCTCACGCCAAGACGTTGTCTCTGCGCTCGCCCGTAGGGAAGGAGGGAGGAAATTCAGATGACGCCTTCGCCTCGGATCCGAAGAAGCGCCAAGACCCCCTGGCCTGAAACGCCGCCGCGTCCCAAAGCTATTTATAGCGGCAAGTTTTAAATACAGAGGAAACGTTGCGGGGAAAGAAAAAAGGTTATTTCAGCCACCTGTGGTTCTCCATGAGGAATCGCAGGTGAGACCGTAGAATCCTACAACGTGGTGGGCTGGGAGGGACCTTTAAAGCTCCACCAACCTCATGGGGGTGGTTTCTCTTGGCCCATCTGACTTTGCAGCATTTCTCTCCACGCATCCAAGCGAGGACCCAACACCCCAACCAGGCTGACAGGGCGACAGCCCTGGGAGGCAAGGCTGAAGCAAGACCGGCTTCATCCCCTCAGCAAAAAACCTTGGGTTTTTTGAACTCCTTCCCCAGAACAAGACGGATGGAGACCCATCACGTTCTTGGGTGAGCCTTCAAAACACAACCGGGAGCTTTTCGATGCTCGAGTGTCAACCCCGAGCCAAGCAGCCGGCGCGGTTCCCGCTTGGTGCTGCCAGCTCAGCTGCCAGCTGGCACGGAAAGGTGTCAGGAAACCCGGCGGGTTCTCGCCTTGTCTCCCGACGAGCAAGGTGAAGCTCCTGCCACCACCAGGTGAAGCTTCTCTGGGTATTTTTGGGGCTTTTGAAGGAAGCAGTGTCATCCTCGGAAGGAGGGATTCCCGAGGTCTATTCCGAGCTGCCCGCGGGATGCGCGTAAAACCCCAAATTCCTCTGCGTTGGACAAGCAATTATGTCAAGAATGTGTTTACTTGCAGGCATGTCTCGGCTCCTATAAACACACGCCCTGCCAGCGGGGAAGGCCCTGCAGATGTGCCGCCGCTGCTGGGGCACGATTCCGAAATG